TGTAGGTTGACATAGCTGGAATTTGGAATGTACCCACAAAAAGTGGGCTTCCCTAAAAATTCCTAATCTCAGAATTTGTTTTCCCTCAAAAACTCTCCTGTGAAGCAGGTTGAACTGAGTGGCTGCTTCAGAATCACCCAGTGAACTTCGAGGGCTGAGGTGAACAAGAATGTATACCTTCCCATTCCTAACCCAGTACCTTGACCACTATCCCACACTGGCTCCCTGTTTTGATTTGATCTTCCAAAGTGTGTTTGTGAGGAGGAAAAGGAGAGTCAAATTGGAGAAAAGCAAGGAAGGAAAGTGGGTGAAAGGGATTTCACCCTTCCTGTCTGCCATAGGTTTCAGCCCAATAAGATAACTGCAGATATTTTTTAAAAAATAATAAAAAATAGGTCACAATACTGTAAGAAAATAGAAAAAGAGAAACTTGGCTATTTTTTTTTTTTTTTTTAGAAAGGAGGCTGAGGTATCAATCAAAATTCAGTCTAATTAGGGCAGCCTTACACTGAGTTGATCATACGCTGTGATGATTTCCCTTGAAAGTTAAAGGCTGACTGGGTCAGTTGCACCATGAGAACAGAGCAAATATTTTCTTGGCAATTTAAAAAGATGTTGTGTCTTTACTTGGTTTTTGATTTAGCAGGAAGAATTTGTGAAAAACGTATTCTGCAGATGAAAAATAAATTAAACATACAGGAAAGAGAATTGTGAAAGTATTGATCTGGTTGCCATTAGCTGTTCAAAACTTCTGAAAGTTTATATATATATATATATGGAACTCTGACACTGCACAGCTAACAGCACTACTTATCTCTAGTGATCTACACCAACAGAAATCAATAAAAAGTTCTTCTGGTTGTCATATACCTTTATATATATATATATATATATATATCCAGTGCTACAAAAAGAGATATAGGACACCTCCCCTAGTTAAATGTCATTGAAATTGTCCTTAGCATTCTTCAGAATTCTAACATACCATCTGACTATTGTTTTCAAAGTTGAATTTGTTTTTGTGAATTCTGGTTGCCATTCATAAACCAGACATCTCACCCAATTCTTTAGATCTCCCAGTAAAGTAATAATTTGGGTTGATATATTATACTAAATCATAATGTGATTTGTTTTCTTTTGGCTTAGTGTGTTGTATGAATCCAGTCGTTGTGGCCTAATAATCATGGCTTCACGTGATGCCTGAAATCAGTTTCAATAAATGTAACCTAAGGTACCAAAACTGTATGCAGATCCTGAAAGCAACTGTGGCTCCAGAACATCTCAAATAGTTATCACTAAATTGGAATTGCTAATGTAAGATGAGAAGGCACTTATTAAGTACATGATAAGGGAGTGATCATTATTAAAATATAGAAGTTAAATCAAATTCACGGAGTGGAGATGAAACCAAATGTTATTCTCCTCCAGTTCCTACCTTTTTGTACCACCAAAGGCCAGAAAATCTTGTAAACCATCTGATTTAATTCCATCTTCTGCTTCTCCAACTGTTGGCTCCATTCTAATGTCCTCTTGAAGTCCCCCAGAGGTGAAAAAACCCACTGTTTCCTTCCATGATGGTCATCACTGTTGTGCTGCTTTTACCTTATAAATATTCACTGAAATCTAGTTTCCTGTAGCAAAGGTTCAGGGAGCTCTGGGGCAAAAATACAAGTTCTTTGTCTACTGCTAGGTGACAATATATACAGCATAATAAACAAAAAATATATCCAGTGAAGTAAAGTCATCACCATCACCATTAGAAAATACATAGATCAAAGGGAACAAAACAACTATTGCACCAAAGGGGGAGGGAAGAGATCATCTAAAAGTTACTCCAATGGAAAATCAGCAAAGAGGAAATTAAGTAGCTCTGCCACATCATGCCAGTTACCAACAGACTGTTTCCTATATGGGCAGAATCACATGCTGTGCACATGAACGACTCCCCTGCAAGAGTCACCTTGCAGGGGAGGATGGGCAGTAGAAAAATGTAATAAATAACCATCCCTACATTTTATGCAACTCCAATAAAAGGGCTCTGTAAAGAATTATTTCTTTTTTTGTTAATAAAGATTTGTGAAGTGGTTTACGATGAAAAGGAGGAAAGACACGAGGAAGGACTTGAAAGCAAGTTCCTCTGTGACCAGAGGAGCAAAATCCACTTGAAATTGACAGTCCTATATGCACCTGGGTACCAAATTGTATATGTAAAAAAATCAGCATATCATCACCACCATTTAGAGGCTGTCCAACTCTACATGGCTTAGAAATTTAGAAAACGAGGGGGGGAGGAAATAAGGAAAAAATCTGAAGCATCCAGATAACTGTTACCGTATCTCATACACTGCCAAATCTCACTATCACTGAATGGGCTGCTACCCTAAAGCCTGAGAGAATAGCTAATTATTAAATTATTAATATTAATTATTAAAAGTTGCAGCATCTCATCATCAGGATGCAAGTTACATGGATCTCTGGGATGGGTTATGGAGTATCATTCAAAAGGGCAATTAGTGACACAATACTGTGAAGCCTATTGGGAATCAATTTAGAATCTGCAACACTGATATTATGTGCAAGTAGCTTATTTCACCCACTACCAAGACAGCTGCTAAATTTTGGATCAAAAGCAGTTTCCAAGGAGGCACCACATCTAACCATGGGTTGTCAAGAGCATGAGTCACCTTGGAAGATAGCACCTGAAGCTTTTGGTTGCTGCAAAATTATATAAGGTAAGCAGATTTCACCTGGAGAAAATGAAGCTAGAGTTAACAAGGTTCTATGACCTATAAGGTTTCATACAGCACCTTGAATTGGACCTGAGGCCAATTAGCAATTACTGCAGCTACTGCAAAATAAGTCTTGCAATATTGAATATCTGTAGCTCGGGTGAAAGTTCGTTCTCAAAGCTTGTGGGTTGGTTTCCAAACATTTTGTTACCAGGCTAGGTAACATCTTCAGCAGAATTTAGGGGATGTCACTGTCAGTGTTCTTCTGTTTGTGACAAACCCACACCTGAAGCCCTTATACTGTAAAGAGAAGAACACTGACACTGACATCCCTTAAACTCTGCTGCAGATGTTACCTAACCTGGTAATGAAACCTTTGGAAACCCAACCCACAAGCTCGGAGAATGAACCTTCACCCTCAAAATAAGTTTTATTCTGCTATACTGGCTGATCCTGGTTAGCTATACAGACAGCTGCATCTGGTGCTAGCTGCAACTTCTGATTTGGTCTTCAAAGACAGCTCTATGTAAAGTAAAGGTATTGTGGTTAAACTGAGAGATATTAAAGACATGAGCCATTTATCTTCAGTTCCCCCTGGTTTGGGAAAGGGTGCAGCTAGTGAGTCTGCTGAGCCTGGCTGAAGGCTCTCCTGCCCACATTCCAGCAGGAACTGTGAGTCCAGGAGAACTCACAAAATGCACACTAGCTCTTTCAGATGGAGCACTCATCTTCAGAAGAGTTAAAAGAGCTGTGATAAAGGAGGCAAAACTATGATTGTTTCCTCCAAAAACAAAAACTTGCAAAATAATATGTTTTAGTTTGATCTTGTCCATCATACTTCATGCAGGCCTGTTGAAATCAGCTTTAATGTATTGTTCTTGCTGCCTCTTTTCATATGCTTAAATATTATTATTTGCCCTGTAAAATAATCTGATAATGTTCCAAAACAGTCTAGCAAATTGTTTCACATAGTAGCCAGCTATATACCCCTGGGAAGCCCCTAAACAAGTGACTTTTGCTAGCAGGTACAAAAGAGTCATGCCATCTGTAAACCTATAAATTCATGTACAAGCACCATAATTGACACACAGGAGAACACAAACCTCAAAGGTAAACACTGTTAGTAACAATAAACCTTTTGAAGGTTTTTTATTGGACTTTGATCACTCAAAATGATATGGTGCTGTTCTTCTAACCAAAGATTGCAGCCAAAAATATTTAGATTTGAAACAGTAGAGGAATACTAGATGTATTACAAAATAACATTTTTCACTATTTATTGCAGAACTTAAATCATATTTCATAATACGTATATATTATTCATATTCATAAAAAACAAAATATTGTCCCAGCATTAAAAGGCTATTTATCTCTGAATGCCATCATTAATTTTATACTAGTGAATATTATCTGAAAAGCTAACTGGTTTTCATTGGAGTTTTTCTGGAACAGGAGACTTATGTTCTTTCTTACTTGCCCAGTCTTTTGATGTTCTTCTTAAATTGGTTTTTTACAACAGCTATTGTCTTCTATGAATGGAATTTCATTCTGAAGCCTTGTTTCTGTTGTAAGAGGGAATTGAGCACTGACAGAAATGTAACAAGGAACACATCTGCATGACAATGAGTATTCAAAGATCCATAGCCAGGGCCAAGATCCCACGAGTTACTCTGAATGTGAGCAGAAATTTAAGAGCTGTTCTATGCAGTAGTCAATAGAAACAAAAGAGAGAAATCTTCTTTGATGTTCTAAATCATAACAAAGTGACAGGAGAGAATAATAAAGATGTACTAGGTCTACTACTGGTATCACATTTATTTTTTATCTTGCCTTTATTATTATAAATAACTCAAGGCAGTGTTCATACTTAACACTCCTTTCTCCTTTTACAAGGAGTCTTCAAGTTACGATAGGTCACTTAGTTATACAACAAATTATAGCAGACCTCCAAAAGGTACTTTTGACCTGGTTTTCAATTTATCATAGCTGCACACAAATGCACACAATCACATGATCACATTTTGGGCACACGGCAACTAATTCACCTTTACCTTTATGGCCATGTGCAGTGACTGCAGTTTTTGATGGGTTTTTTTTTTTGTTGTTGTTGTTGTTGGTTTCCAGTATTTACTTCTGGTTTCTGGCAAAAAAACATGCATTGGGTAAGATGGATTTACTTAACAACTGCTACAAGAAATGCTGAAAAATCAGATCTGGTCATACGATACCTCAATTTATGATGGCAACATTTTAATTCTGGGATTGATTACAGTCGCAGTTCCAGGACAACATGTAGTTTCTCCATAAAAAAATCTCCTGTGAGATGCGTTGGGCTGAGAGTGTGTGACTGTTCCAATTTTCAAGCAAGTAATGAGACTCTTCAATTGTACTGAATATACAATAAGGTCATGCATAACTAATAGTGACATTCAATTCATGTGCTTAAGATCAAACACTTGTGATAAATATAGTAATTTTAAGTTTCACCAAGCTTAATATAAGTTAAATACCATGTTGGTTAACAGGCTTTATTCACCAGTACTGGCAAGAGACCATGTCAAAGAAAGAAAACGTTTAGACATCTTTGAGTCTAAATTATTGCTGATTCAGGAGTTTCTGGTTCAGGATTTATTGCTATCCTTTGTTTGCAAAATCAGAGATTCTACACTACTATTCTGGGATTTATGGACTTCCAGATGTAACACCCAACATACTGATCTTGGCTATGCTGGAGTGGTGGATAATGTAGTTCAACCAATGGAAACTAATCAAGGAGAGAAGCAACCTAGAACTAAGGAGAAACTTCCTGACAGTTAGAACAATTAACCAGTGGAACATCCTGCCTCCAGAAGTGGTGAATGCTCCAACACTGGAAGTTTTTAAAAAGAGACTGGACAGCCATTTGTCTGAAATGGTATAGGGTTTCCTGCCTGAGAAGGGGGTTGGACTAGATGACCTCCAAGGTTCCTTCCAACTTTATTATTATTATTGTTATTGTTATACTCAGGGGGCCCAAAGGTTTTCTGATTCCTAATTTAAAATGTACCTAATCATATTTTCAGGACTGAACTGCTAAAAGATACTTTACGGTATTTTCTGCGATTTATCCAAATGTACCCCACTGGAATAAAATGACCAAATTAATCAAGGAGCTGAATAGGAACAATTCAGAAGTTGTTAGTAGCCTAAAGTGTGGAGGCTTTTCCTAATCCAGTCTTCATGAATTTTTCAGCTTGACTTTCAGCAACAAGAATTGGTCCATGAGGAAATGAACGATCAATGAAATACAGATTAAATTACCTTTAAAACAGAAATGCAGGAACAACTTAGAGCAATCAATAGCCTAAAGAAAACAAACACAAGTAAAAGAAAAAGTTGACACTCTCAATAACAAGCAAAGGAGTAATAAAATGAATTAGTCCTCAAGTTTGGGAACAAGAATTCTTTTGAAGACTTTTAAAAGCTATTGATTTCTTCTTCTTACAAGAATATAGATTAATCAGTAATTGAATCCAATTCATTTTCAATTTGAAAGGAGCAGGGAAATGCAGAACCAGAAATGAGTGGAAGCTTGACCACCCATCAACTATGGTTTGTAAAAACCATCACTGTCTGTTCTTTATTGTGCAAATGACAGTTCCCCCAAAGGAATTGTTACAATAAGTATATGGTTCTAGATGAAACCGTAACCCTACCCCTTGACTCTTGCAACAGAGTCCTTCTGTTATTATAAGTCTAGAATATGCCTGAATTTTTCATCTTGAAAATTTTGGTCTATAGACAGTACGCGAGTAAAGTACAGCTATATACCAATAGCTGAAAATTAGATGATAAATGTTTTCCTTACATAAAGATTGTAAAGACTAATTGTCACAGTCTTCATAAACTTCCTTAACAATGCTCATGATACTGGCCTCTCTCTTGTTCCTGTTCTTTAACTCCAATTTTCTAAATTTGAATGATTATAGGTAGTCCTCAACTTAAAACAATTCATTTGGTGATTGTTTGAAGTTACAAAGGCACTGAAAAAAGTGACTAATGACCATTTTTCACACTTATGATCATTGCAGCATCTCCATGGTCAAGTGATCAAAATTCAGATGTTGGCAACTGATTCAGACAGTATTTATGCCAATTGCAATGTCCTGGGGTCATTTGTTCTTTTTCAACCTTCTGACAATCAAAGTCAATGGGGAAGCAAGATTCACTTTACAACTATGGCAGGAAATGTTGTAAAATGGGACAAAATTCATGTAACAACTGTCTCACTTAGCAACAGATATTTTGGGCTCAATTTGTGGTTGTAAGTCAAGAACTACCTGTATTTTCTCCTTTGCTTTGCTTTGCATTGCTTTCACATGAAAGATCCTTTATTTCTGAGCTGCTGGCTTCAAAAGCTGTGTTCTTCCCTTGATTCAGGTCCTTTAACAGTGAGACAGGAGAATATCTTAGCATGGTACCTTGCCCCAAGTATCTCAGAAAAAAAAAACAGCATTTCAGATAATTAATTATGTTTTGTAATTTTTATTTAAAAGGCAAAGGTATTCATGGAGAGAAAAAAATCAATCTGACATTTCTCAAGCTATCTGACCCATAAAAATTGCAACAGCATGAAGAATGAACAGTTTTGTTACAAAGAGAGGTAATGGCACAAGAAGAATCTGTATCTTTATCTAGCTCTCTATATCTAACCTTAAATATATATCATAAATAAATATCAATATGTGGTATGATTGTTAAAGATCTGTCATTTTAGAAGAATTTGGCCCCAGTTTCATAAATGCAAATAAATTGCAAACTAAGATGAGAAGTACCGTAAGTTGCAAAGAGATGAGAAGTACCGTAATCTTCCAGTGCATGTTTTTTAATTTCCTGAAGGACTTCAATATATATAGCTCTTTAATCATAGAATAAATTATTCTTTAGTAGTAGCAACTTAGCATATCTCTTCAAACTGATTTGTTTGTGTAAGAACTCATCAATGAACTTGCATCATTTAAATCTCATTTCAAGAAGTAAAGTGATTCCACACTCTTGACTGCACGACGCTGAACTATATTGCTGGTATGCAAAACCCCAATCCATCTATCAAAACCTTGCTGCATGTCTGTTACAATTATGTAGAGAAATAATTGTCAATCACCTCTGGACAGGAAGCAAGCCAAGTGCAGCATCCTGATAATGTCTCAGAAACAGGCAGGACTTGAATAGTGCAAGGACAGCAGTATTCAGATCTCTTTGATTTACATATCTTGAGCTACATTATGCTCAGAGAAGAATATCTCATTTAAAAATTTCCCAGTAACTGAAGTTCTCTGGATGCCCTACGAATTAAACACATAAATATAAAATAAGCAATAAACTGTTTAGAAAGTAGAAAGACACATGAATGCAGGATGAATGTATATAAAAATTGCAGTTAGCAACATCAAAGAGATAGTAAAAGAATTCTTTAAAAAGTTAAAAGAAGGATAAACGGTGAAACAATAATAAGTTGAGAAGTGTGCTATGTACTGGATATTTTTAGCACTGAGAGAGATGCAGAGAAAACTGTTTCTTGGCAGGAGAAACAAACTGTAAACTACAGTCCTCGTTAACCAAATGCTACCATAGTAGAAGTTTTTTTGTCAGACCTCAGCTTACAAACAGAACTGAACCAGTTAATCAAGCTCAGAAGAAATCTAAGAATTTCCGGCAAGCAATCTTTACTGAAAAAAGTAAGGAAGGAATTTCAGCAAAAGTCATGTTATTTATATAAAAAAGGCCTTATGTAACTGCCCAGAGTTGTTGGTAATTAGGCAGCATACAAGTTTAATAGACTAATGATGATGATGATGATGAAGAAGACGACGACAATGGTGATGACACAATGTTCAGTCTGTCATGAAATTCATTCACCTTGTTGCTTTATGTAATAGACTAATTTGATTGGGATGACAAGTTTCGATCTGTCCTCTATTTCGATATCCATTAGATTTGCTATTGTTTTTCACTATGTGAGAGCGGTCTGACATCTGCAGATATTAAAGAATCCTATTGCAGTTGTGGTCATCAGCAAGGCAAGCTGTGCACAAAGGATGCCGTTATCTTGTATCTACCTACATGCAGGTAATGGGTGATTTAGAAATATGAAAAATAAATCAGCAAATAAATAAATAAATGCGAGCAAACTGAACTCAATAGGACATATTTTTGAAGTTTTGAGTAGACATGTATAGTGTTAGTAAGCACTACTTTCTTGGACTTATCATATGCATAATAAGGAAAGAAAACACATCCTGTTCATCTACAATCATTTGTCCCATTTCGCACACTTATTCCAGTATCATGGAGTATATCAGGCCCCAAACCAAGGATGACACACGGTGATTCTTCCAAACTGAGTTCTTTATTGTTTCATACCTACAGACAAAATCTTGCCAGAGTGAACACTCTGCTACCTGCATGTGTAATATATTCTGTGAACTATTAGGGAGGTGCTCTCTTCACCCTCTTTCTCTCACACATAATATCTGGAATGAGTTGCCCCTTAAACCTCTGAAACGCACCCCTCCCTCATGGGAAGCCACTTCGTTACTGCATTCTATCACTTTGCCAAATCCCAAATATGATTGCTTTTCACTGATTCCCAGTAGCCATAGAAAGGCCATTCCTTTTCAGGAATTTGAACTTTCTGACCTGATCTCAAAATATGTGAATAAATATGTTTTGCTCCCCTCTTCCCTTTTTTATTGCTCATCTGAAAAAAAAGCAGGTGATCTCCAGGAAGCCTCAGGAATCAACGGTTACTGCAATTTTAGAAAGCTGAAATGTTAATACACCAATGGAAGGAATACTATAAATAGTCAGTCTAATAGTCTTTATAATCTTAGAAAATTATTGTAGCAGAACTCACCCAGAAATAGACTGAAATCAAAAAAGGATTTGATGGGTTCTTCTCCATGTTACTGCATTCCATGTAGTGTACTGAGTGCTAATCTCTCTGTGTGGCTGAGGATTTTGTTCCAAAAAGTGCTTCCATTGCTTTGAATCTATTTTGATAGTGTTACTTCTTTACTACTGGTAAATAAAACTTGTTTACTGGTTACAGTCAGAATAATGGCAAATTTGAGGTATGAAGTGTTCAACAAGTTAAATCCTTTTTATTTTTTGTTTAGTATTGTATATTATTTGATCCAATGGTTTTACTTACTCAGTGGGTAAACCATTGGTTAGGCCATGAATGGTGGAGCATATTCGCCTTTACCTGCAATCTTCTGAATCCCTCAAATGTGGTTTCTGAATGCCTATCATTTGAGAAAATATAGAGAGATGTGGATGGATAAGGTTTACTGCATGAATCGAAATCAAGCACCGTGTTGAATATACCATTAAAATGAATCTTAAAATCTCTCTTCAACCCACAAGGAACTGCTTTGTTACTGAAATCATTATTAGTCTTTCTGGGTCTTGTCAAAAGCTCTTTAATGAAAACTAATGCTATTGCTCCTGCAGAGCAAAAGATTGGAATATAATTAATTTTGTTTTCTGTTATTCCAAAGAAATTATATGATTATTAAATGAGAAATAATGAAATTATTCAGAATTATATTATAAAGGGAAGGAAATGCTAGAGCAGGGGTAGGCAACCTTGGCTCTTTTATGACTCATGGACTTCAACTCTCAGAATTCCTGAGTCAGCCATACTGAGGGGAAAGGGAGAGGTTTCCAAGCTGAGCCATGCTGGCTCAGAAATTCTGGGAGTTGAAGTCCACGAGTCATAAAAGAGCCAAGGTTGCCTACCCCTATGCTAGAGCAAACACTTTATCACTTGCCTGTCTCTCTTCTCTCCCTCTCTTTCTCCTCCCCCTTTCTCTCTTGTTTTTATTGATCCTCAGCCAAGGAAGAGACTTCTAGCATGTCTTCACTTGCATGAATGTAGGTATCACAAGGCTTGTGGTTATGTGGGAAATATACCTTGTTATAAATAATTTCTGACTCCAGAGAGCTTCCAGGATGCCTTAGGAACTAATAATAACCAGCAAATACAATATGAGACTGAAATAAACAATGAAGTATGCCATTAAAAAAAGAAACTTATAAAACTGGGCATCTTTATATAAATCATAAATTATTATTATTATTCTCTACTAGAACTAAAAAAAATGTGTCTTTTTACATATTTGATGTGTTCTGGACTGAAAAGTATTGAGGAATTTTCCGTGATGATCCATGAATGCTGCTTACACATGAAAAATAGTGAGAGAAATAACATTTATCTTCAGATTTCTTCATTTTTTCTACAATTTATCTGACCTCTCAGCATAATAATGCATGCAACTGTTAGGACTGACATAATCAGAAACCATGGAAGAGTTTAGCTGCCATAATGTAAAACAATATAGATTGTTCTGCAGTCACAAATGTAGGGCCTTTTGTATCACTCAATCCTTCATGTTATCTGGAATGAATAATCTCTTGTATAGATGGGATCAAGCAGGGGTCCCCAACCCCGGTCCCTGGACTGGCACTGGGCCACAACATGCCAGAAACTGGATTGCACAAACAAGCGATGCCTCATCTGTGGGATGCAGGCAGCACATGAAACTACGCACTCTCCAGTCCATGAAAAAACTTCTTTCAACAGAACCAGTGCCTGGTGTCCAAAAGGTTGGGGGCCGCTGGGATAAAGTGCTTGGGTGCACAGAAAGTAGCTACGGTAGCAATAGGGACAGAAGAATTATGATTCACCACAAAAAGGAGTCAGTTTCCCCAGTTTTACAATAAGGTACATTTTTTTTCAAAATATAAATTATGGATATTTTTTTTCCTGAAACACTCAATGTTGAAACCTATATTACTAGAACGCCATGGGAAATGTGTATAAAAAATACTTTCCAGTCTGCATATTATACTGGGAATATCAAATCAGTCACTTCTTTTTTAGTAATTTTTCAACTTTTATATCACTCACATAGGTTTTGTTGTTGTTTTTTATGCCTATAATGACTTTGTAGTATTTTCATTAGGAGATTTTAAAATAGCATCATAATGCTCTTTCCCGAATGAATCAGTGTTTTGGCTTTGGAAATGGATGCTGGGTTTTAGTTTTATTTAATCAAGATGGTAAGTCATAGTAAAATAATGAGTATATGTGAGAAAACCAAGCATAAAGTCAAGATTTCATGATAATGCATTATATTTGCCAGTAAGGTGCAGGGTATTTTTCTCTCTTGCTAAATATTTTTCAATTTAAGGGCTTTTTTTTCCTTTTCAGACACCAGAACAGAAGCAATTATAAACAAAAGAATTAGCATAAGATGCAAATAGGAGCAATATGGCTGCTACAAATCAGGAATGTCTATGAAATGAAAATTAGCCTGAAATTAACTGCAGTTGCGG